AAGGGCATGAGAAATTCTAAGAAGTCAGCTTTTTACTGCAAACTTGAGAAAGACGGTAGCAGGGAGGATTGTAGCCTGTCTTTGTATGGGTCTAAAATACTGCTGGAATTTGCTGTCCTCTCACTGGTGTTTCTCTGCCCTGGTAATTGATCCAAAGTGTATTGTAAATGTAAGAAGTAAGTTGGCCAGAAGCTAAAAATTGGAGCGTTTTTACACTGTTTGCATTTTATCAAATAGATAAATGCTCATCTGTTGCTTTTAAGACCTGCTGGAGTTAGTAAGAGGAGCTGTAATTACCTCTGGGCAAGTAGTACTGTTGTAGAAGCATTCATGTGTCCCAAGTTTCAATTATTCTTACTCAGAAGTCTTTGCAGTCAAAAGATTTTGCCATTGCAGTTGTGGGTGGGTGTTTGGTGTTGGTTTCTGAGGGTTGTTTGGAGTATTTCTTTCAAGTTAAGTTGGCAAATGGGTGAAAGTTACTACATCAAAACTTTACATAATTCTACATTTTGCATTTTCTTTCTGAAATGGTGCTTGCGTCTAGTTCCGTGTCTGTGATCTTGAGAAGTTATACCGAGTAACAGGAGAAAGGCTTTAACATGCAGCCAGAACAGCGGTTCTTAAAGGGTGCTTCCTAGCTTGCTCTTCCAGGATTTTCACAATCCAGGAGTTGACAGCTGCAGGCTTCTTTTAGTACCAAGAGCCGTGTAGTCCCTAACTCACTTAGCAACCTTGGGCATTTGTCTTTTTTCAGCCAACGAATGCTGTCTCCGAAATGGGACATCTCCAGCTCGATAATGAGGGTTCGTTGTTTGGAATACGTGTTAGCCTGTATTTGCTTTGCAGAGAGGACACGAAGTGAAAAAGTTGCTAAATCCCTTATTCTCGAGTTTGCTTCCAGCCCCGGCCGCATCGCCCCTCTCTCGGGCGGGGCCCGGCAGTGGCCCTGGGGCCCGGTTGCGGTGCGTTCCCCCATCCCGGGATGGGAGCGCGGAGGGCGGCGCAGGCTGCCCCGCTCGGAGCCCGT